AAATGATTAAAAAGAAAAGGAAAAATATATACTAGAATTTCTATTCTCAATGGTCTACATGGTTTGCTATGATCCACATGGCCAAATATCTTTCCATAGTCAATAAAACACAAGTAAACATCTTTCCATTATTCTTTACTTTAAGCCAAGATCTATCTGAAGTCACCAATGATATATAACTTGTACTAAGTCTTCATCTGAATCCACTTTGAATTTTCAGCAACTACCTGTCAGTATACCACAACAACAATTTTTGAAGTATCTTAAACAAAATTTTACTTACATGTGATATTAATATTTTTGAACAGTTACGAATGTATATCTCTTCTAGTCTTTGACTAAGTAACTATCTTTCAAATTTCATGGAATCGTTAAGTGAGTGTTTCAAGTGCTTCATCTGCTTGTTAGTCTTTCAAATCCTAGTGTGGCAATTCCTGCTACCTTGTTTTATGTTAATGACTTCAATGCAGCCTGGTCTTCTTTCTTCCACACCATCATTTCATGATCAAATTCTAACTCTTGAAATAGTTGAACATTTCGCACTTCTTTTTTGGGTACAGTGACTATTTATTCCATCATCTTTTAATATTTTGGGCATCATCTGAAATTTTGCCGCTGCAATCTTTTACTATTGGAACAAGAAGCTTAAATTTTTCTTCAGGTCTTTCAGCTTGAGATATGCTCTTCCTTTTTTTGGCTAACAACAACCCCCCCCACACACACACGTTTCAATATAATACTCTATTCTGATTTCTTGCGCTGCCATTTAATTTTTTTCTGTTCAGCTCTCTTACTACATTTCTTCCATTTAGAATTCGAGCAAAATTTTCAAGATCAAATTTCAGATTCTCTTTTGAAGCCCACTTTGGCATCTTGTCTTTTTAATAATCTTTTGCTTTCTTCATGCATGATGTTTTTGATGTCATCTCATAGCTTTCAAGTTATCTGTCATTAGTGTGTGCACATCAAATCTGTTCTTGAGATGGTCTCAGTATTTTGGTGGGGTATGTACAAAGTTGAAACATGACTCTCATGGACTTGTTCACATTTTCTTTGCCTTCAATGTTAGCTTGAAATGGAGCAATTGATGGTTTTACCACAATCACCCTGACCTTATTTTCCATAATGACATTGAACTTCTTCATAGTCTCTTTTCACAGATATAGGCAATTTGATTTCTGTGTCTTTCATCTGATGTAGCTTAGGTGTATACTTTATGAAATTGAAAAACATTGTTGTTGAAAACTGGTAGTTGCAATAAAGAAGTTCGCTTTATGTCATCAAGGCTATATTTTCCAACTATTGTTCCTTCTTTTGTTTCCAACTTTGTGTTTAAATAACTGATAATTATCAATGTACCTTGATTCCAAGTTTTATAAACTTCAGATGGTGGACAGTAGTTGAATTCTTTCATTGCTCCTTCTTCCCTGTTCTTGTTGCTTTTTATGGACTTTGTACTTATTGTCACCTTTTAAATTTCAAATTATTGAATATTTTAAGGTACACAAATCTTCCTATTGTTATTGTGCCCCTTATAAATCTGTCCATTGTTTTCCTGAAAATTGGGCCTTGGGAGTCAGTTAATTTCCAGATCTGAGGAGTGCCTAACAACCATAGTCTCTGGTTATAGCACTCTGCATTTAACCAGCAATTCTTGTCATGTTTATGATTTTGCATTTCATTGTACATTTTTCTCTCAGTGGAGTCATAGTTTTCTATTGTGATTCCGTTCCAAGCGGTTAGA